ATTATTCTACTCCTATTTTTTACAAGTACAAAGTTAGTATGTACATATTTAGTACTACCTTTTATTGATACATTGGTGGTTTTGATTTTGAAAATAATATAAGAATTGAAATAAGTTATGAGAACATACAAATACGCAGTTAAAAAAGAAAGAAAGAGAGAGAGAATATGTTGTTTTTTACATCTACAATCTTTCACTCTCTGAATACCTTGTTCCATATAATATACTATACAAGTACTATAAAAGTACACCTTCTTCACACTTAACTATAATAGAACAGCAGATGCAAACAATCGTGCCCTAAATACATTACCAAAGTTGTTATAACAAACAGGATAAACCTCTCTTAGGTACGAAACGCTAGATAAACTAAAAACTCTTTCTCCAGTTCAAGTTTCTCGATTGTTTGTGGACAAATGTACACTAATGTTTCATTAAAGAATGCAACAAGTTGTCTTTAATTATGAAAAATTATAGCTTACAATGATGACAGCACAGAAATGTGGCATGCGTTTTTCCAAATTCATTGTCAATTAGAACAATTCTTTTAAAAAAAAGAAACAAGAAAGTTTAAATTGTTTGAATTCCCTATTTTAACACAGAAAATATCAATGATTGAGATGGTTTATGATATTCTAAGAAAAAACTCAAATCTACATACAAGAAATACATACTCACTGAAAAAACTACAAGAATAAGTTTCAGAAAAAAAGTATACAAATAAAAACTTCTTTCTGAAGAGATTTTTTTTAAAAAAAAGAACCATTAGTAGATATTATAAAGTAGCAAAGATACATTACTAAGTTATTTAAATTAAGTTCTAGATACCATGCGGGGTCAAAACCTAACATATAAATGTCTGCAATTCTTTTTAAAAAAAATGCTCAAAATTATTACATATACTTTCCCGATTAAAAAACTATTTGAATACTACACGTTAATGAGATATTGCTCAAGAAAAAAACTGTCCTTCTTCACACATCAAATTTGGATCTTTTTTACTAAATAACATCCTAGAATTTTGAGAAAATAACTGTTTGCCTGTATGAATGTAAACGCTTAAAACACTATTGCTAATCACAATCAGAGAGAGTTAATAATTACCATCAGTCACCCTGACTCAATATCTAATTTCCATCCAATTAAATGTTACTTATTAATCCAGGTTGTCGAGCCCCACCAAAAAAATGTTGTGATCGTGAGATATGACCTCGCACACGTACCAGATCCATCTAAGTAATTTTTAGTTAATGAGTGACTACATGAATCAACTTTCCCCAAATAACTTCTATATAATTAGGCAGGGATCACGTACCTACACCATCCATATAAAGTAGGGTAGGGAGGTGTGCAGCCAATAATAGGGAGCACGGATCGTTTTTGAAAAAGAAAATCCAAAGTTATTTCCAGAATCAGAAGTGGAAACCTCTGTTTAACAACACAAACTTAGATTTAGGACCAACTTCTCTTTCAATCACAACAGATGATATAACTGGTGGCTACAACAATCTGTTATAACTTTTAAAATTAATTAATAAAATAGTTTTTTGATTGGATCCTAGCATGATCCTACCCCCCCCCCCCTCTCCAAACAGCTTCATCAATCTTACCACCACAATAGGTTTTTTTTTTATGAATTCAAACAGGATAAATATCGTACAATTCTCAATGATAATGTATATATATCTTTCTAAATTCCACCCAATTATAAACCTAGTGGGACAATTCTGATCAAAGATATCAATAAAGTTTCTAGAAAACCATACAAAGCTCTTTCTTAGTAAATATTACAATTTAAACAAGTTAACCCACAAGTTTATTTTATAGGTAAATAATGTAGAAAAACTAATAAGAGCAGAAAAAGAAACTACTTTAACTTTAGAGTTATTCTGTTACATTATTATTTTTTTTCTAAAGTTGTGCAAAAGAAAAAGAAATCAAATGAAAAAAAATACACTTGGAAATTTCAGATTTTAAAATATGTAAGTAAATAACATACAAATGACGCTTACACGTACAATTTTACACCAATATTCCTAAAAGCGACTTTTAATTCTACTACACCACTAAACTGTATACCAATTTTATCTGCAATATTATATCTTTTTTTTTTTTAAATAACAAAGATTACAAAACACTTCCTACAGTTATCCCAAAAGTTTCTTCACGTTGTTTTTGACGGAAGTGTATTTGTACAAATGAATTTTACATTCTTTAATTGTACACACTCTTACTACTAATTTTTCTCTAGACACAATAATATAATAACTCACGATACTTTCACTTTGTACACTGTTCCTGTTTCTATTTAATAAACCACTTCATTCAGAAATCTTAAGTTTCTAACTTTGAATAAAAAAACACTTCATTTACATGGTAACATGTTAATATTTGATTATTTTCCTCAAAAATAAGCATTTAAACAGAGAAAAAAAGAAATAATTATGCATATCCTTTTGATATGACAACACGTATATACTTTTGTATTTATTTTTATTTATCTGTTGCAGAGGTGTGCTAATGAGATAAATTTTGAAAGGACCACCAACTGACAGTCTGTAACAAAATTATCAAAATACACTGAAATAGTCAAGTCAGATTTGATTTTCAAAAAAAGATCTACACCATTTTTATTATTATATAAATTGAAGAGATAGAGGTGTTAAACTCTGGCAGTCAGTCTAATATAATTTTATGTTGAGCCGACTCACGTGTTGAGAAACTCTTTAAACAGAAATATAACACTAGTATTCACGATTTCTTTCTTTCTATATTTTGAATTACCAAAATTTTTTAATAACAAAACTTTAATATACAACTTATGACTACTAGATCTAGGATTAGTGAACAAAGAGGAAATATAACTATTCAAGTAGCTGAAGATGGTGTTGTTTCTGATAAAAACGAAAATGAAAGACATAGAATGTGTCTCAATATTTACTGTAAAATGTCTCACTTGTCTCAATATATACTGTAAAATGTTACACTTGTCTCAATATTTACTGTAAAATGTTTCGCTTGTCTCAATGTTTACTGTAAAATGTCTCACTTGTCTCAATATATACTGTAAAATGTCTCACTTGTCTCAATATTTACTGTAAAATGTCTCACTTGTTTTTACAGTAAATATTGAGATGTCTCAATATATACTGTAAAATGTCTCAATTAATTGTAAGAGTTTCATGGTACGTTTATTACATAATTTCATTCATCACCATATTGTTTGCTTAACTAGCATCTGACATTTAAATAACCCATTCAACAAATTAAATCTATAAGAATAATACTGAATAGATTAGATTTTCTTAACCTCCTTAAATTATCTTTGTTTATTTTCCTTAAACAAAAGCTACACTTCCTCTGTTCCCAAAACTAAAAACAGAAAGGTTTTTGTCAGAACAAGGGAGTAAATGTATGACAAAATATATAATTTTGCATTTGAACAAACACCTCACTTATGTTTGTTACGCCAGACTCCACAAATCCAACAGGTACATTATGACGAGATAAATTTCACCCTTTTACTTACAGCAGTGATAAGTAGTTGTGATAATGGGATTAGTGGGTTATAGAAAAAGCTCTTACATCAGTTATCCAATCAAGTCTTTAAAGTGGATCATTATACCAATACTATTTCACTTTTATTCACATCCTTTTATATTTACTGATGTTCGTGATTACATAAATACACAGGTGTAAAAACCACATTTATAAAAAAACGTACTCAGGAAAATGACCATCTCTCCCGTTATAAGTGCTCGATTTTTATCACATATTACAGCGATGGCTAAGAATAATATATTATTATTAGATTACAATAATCACGAACATGGATCGGGTGGGTTAATAATTATAAATTATGCTAATATAAACCTGATCGTAGCTACTGATGACATGTTACCGATGTACAATACTTGTTTACTAGTTGTGTGGGTGTAACAAATATGTTTTCCTTAAGATGAGTTTTTTCCAAATTCGTAAACGGCAAGGTTTCATACAAAAAAAAAAAGATGTAAATTTAAGAAATAATAATTTTTTTTTTATTTGGTCTATACAAAACTTCCTGTTTTAGTTTTCACCTTTAATTCATTGATAATTTCCAAAATTAAACTTAATTATACATTTCTATTTACTTCAAACTTTTCGGTACAAAATACCAAAATCGTCTTTCGTGCATTCACAAAACTACAGAATTCATGACGTACATTTCCTGTCGCTGTTGAAATACATCAAAGCTTAAACATCATTGGCTCTAATTTGTGAAGGTGCTGGTTATCAGGAAAATACATCTTTTGAAAAATCCTGAATCCATGTAAAACAACAAAATTTGTCTCCTGAACCACGAATTAATTATACCCAGAAAACAAGTTCTAATCATTCAGCTGTGTCTACTTCCGGTCTTCCAACCAATTAGTTCATTCCATCCTCTTCATCCAATCATCACTGTCTTTTCTCACTGTGTGTCTCTTTGTCTATATATACACACACAACATTATCAAAAAAATAACTTTTTTTTTTGTCTGTGTGATGTTGATAAATCTCGGGTAATTAGAATACCTTGGATATGAACTTCTCACTACAGAAAACCTATACACATTCAACCATTTATCTGGATTCAGGAAATTATTTTCCTCTCCAAAGATTTAGCCCTTCAATTCTCTCTAACAAAAACAAACGCTATGAATTACATAGCTTAACAAAGATCTCTCAAAGGCTAATCTTAGGCAGAATGTCAATAGTCTTTACACATGAATTATCTCAACAATACGGTTGTATCAAGAATGTGCTCTCCACTATCTTCTCAATCATGTGCGTTATTTTAACTGAAACATTAGTTAAGGCCCAGGGAACAAAGACCTACACAGAGACTATGTAGGGATATTTGTGGTGGGACAGTCCACTTTCATTATCAATGTCACATAAACAACAGTGTCAACGTAACAATTTTATAAAAGGTTTTGTTCACTGCTCATGTCTTTTGTTTTTTCCTATAGTTACCTTTGTGTTTTTTGTATATTCTTTGAGGTTCGTTCTTTGGTGCTTCTTTGTTATTCATCCATGGAAGTGAAAATTCACTGCAAGAAATAACACATCAATTTATCATTTTAGATATTCTGAAAAAAAAACAGCAAGGCTTTACATTAACTCTTTGAACCCATAATTTTTGCACATTCTGCCACAAGAATTATTTTCATGATGTCCTAATAATTATCAACATACCTAATATAAATTCTGGTCTATTTATAAACATGGTTTCGATTAGTTTTCAGCCAAAGCGACATACAAGTTATAGGACGCTGTCACTGTCCAATGGGTAAATCAAGATTTTCGGCCTGATACTGGCAGCTTTCGCTGGTTTAAGAGATAATTTCAAAACTTTTTTTCAGTTAAATTTCAGTCAGGTTTACTTCCCAAGAAAGAATTACATTTTTTTTTCCACTTGTGTAAAGTAAAGATAACCTTCTGTTAGAATTTTAAGCTTACAAAAAAAATAAACAAAGTATATTTGCTATACATCAGAATGAAACAAATTAATCCTGAACCAATGGATCAATCAATTTGATTGACCTTATAACCATCATGTAATCAAGAAACTAAATAGTACAACTCTAAATGGCAAGTTTTAGTAACCAATACAAGTAAGTTGCACACACACAAAAAAGAAGATTTTTTAATAAAGATCTGTCTGTGGTCTGAGTGTTTGTTTGTTTGTTTTTGAATTTCGTGCAAAGCTACACGAGGGCTATTTGTGCTAGCCGTCCCTAATTTAGCAGTGTAAGACTAGAGGAAAGGCAACTAGTCATCACCACCCACTGCCAACTCTTGGGCTACTCTTTTACCAACGAATAGTGGGATTGACCGTCACATTATAACGCCCCCACAGCTGAAAGGAAGAGCATGTTTGGTGTGATGGGGATTCGAACCCGCGACCCTCAGATTGCGAGTCGAGCGCCCTAACCATCTGGCCATGCCGGGCCAGTCTGAGTGAAAGATAATTATAAATATTTATTCTAACAGCTTCGATTCTTTAACATTTTCTTAACTGCTCTCACTTAATTTTATTGGTACATTGTCTAATTAGCACACCAAACCAGAAAGAGCTTAAGATAAACAAACTATCAAGTTATATCATGCAACAGCATCCCGCATGCTTTCCTCATGAGAAGTTTTTTTTTTTTCATTAAAGTTTCCAATTCTTAGATTTTAGTTACTTTTATTAAAAATATACACAAAAACAAAAGTTTTAGCATTTATTTTATCCACGAAGCCTTTTTCACTCGGATGCGTGAAGCCTGTTTTTTTTATGTCACTGTTTTAGTTGTACAGAAAATAATTCAAATATGCATTTTAGAATGCAAAAAATATATCGGACATTAGAATAAAATGTCCCCAAACTACTAAAATTTATCTGGCTTTCTAACTAACCTATAAATAGGTTTAAAAAAAATGCCACTGCTGTGCTCAGATCGACTGCTTTTCTAAAAGAAGCAATCAGGTGTGAACGAGAATATCAAGCGATATTTTAGTCTGCAAATAAGCGCACAGGCCTGCATGAAAATGAAGAGACAAAATGATTTCTTAGTACAGAGAAAGTTCAAACCGTGCAAAGATTTACAAACAGTAGTAGATGATTCTTTTTGAAAGAGATTGCAGAAAGATTGTTGCAGCAAGTAATAAGTTACAACAAAAATTTAAACCTAATCTCATTTACTATGTAATTAAGTATACACGGAGGACAGAAATCCAGAAAAAACTCAACAGCAACTGATTGATGAGAAACATCCTCAATCAGTTACACGTAATTCCCAGTTACCCTCCTCGTTCTTGTTCCTGGACGCCTAGAAACAGCCTTAATAATTATTGGTAGTATAGTACACATCATGGGGCATTTCGAGCACTCTTTTCTTGAAGGGGCCATACCCCATGGGGAATGAACTTCTATCAGTGTATTACAAATAATACTCACTATAATTTTCAGTGATGAGACTTTGCATTACTTGAATGTGATTTTGCTTCTAATGATACTTGTTTAAAATTAAAAAACTGAAAAAATGCATCCATGTAATTAAGTAATTTCTTAAAAACAATTTGTATACTGAGAAATGAGGGATCTAATAAATCTTTAAGCCTAGCTTCAGTTCCCAAGTTTTTCAACTTCACACATGAAAAACTGCTGTAAAAGTTCATCCGATAGTGCCTACATCACATGCAACTTTAACCATATGAAACACAATGTGTGATTGGCAGCTCATGTGAATACTGACCAATCAGGTTCACTATTTCATAGACCACCATCACCCAATGAGAACAATAACTGGTGGTCAATTTCAAGACTTGACAGCTATATATATATATATATATATATATATTTAGTTATTGTGAGTTTTGGGTAAAATTTTAGTTGTCAGACTTACTTGTGCACAAATTAAATTGGCATCTACTTTACTTGTATCTCATATTTATACATTATATGGTAAATTTCAAACCCTGGGGCTGAATGGAATTTTAATTTTTTACTAGCTTGATTGTCTGATTAAAAAAAACACAGCATCCACTAGCACCTGCCCTTGAACACCAGGGATGGTTTCAGACTGCCGTACCAGTGTACAAGAAGCTGGCTGTGAAAATGAAACTGAGAAATTTGATCATTTGTTAAAACTGTCTTCTCTGTTATCTTTAATTAGTATAAAAGGCAATACATACCTAGCTTAACATACAGTTCTACCGGGTTAAAGAAAAAACTTTAACCCATCTCAAACATTAGCGATAAAAATGACCACAAATCCACTGTCAGTGCGAACTTTTCAAATATCTTCCATTGCTTTACAATAAAATTAAGAAATAACATTTCAAGCATCTTTATTCTAGAAACATTTCTGGCTCAAACCTCTTGCATCAGGTTGTAAGAATTGGTTTGATTGTCTAATGGATATATTCCAAATATCAAAGTTTCAATTAAAAAAATATCACATTAAAACATCTTGATATCAGTGTCTGCTGTAATCATTTTACATTTAATGGCCGTGGATAGTTTAGACAGAATTCAAGAACTGCCAACATTCATTAATAAATTGTCAAGTTTCACAAGCTTCTCAGTGTGTATGTTTCATCTAAATACAAAATTATTACAGAAAAATAATCATTTGGAACAGATCAGCCAATGGTGAAATTTCCAGCCAACTAGGCAAAAACCTACTTTTGTAAAGGATAACGTCATTATGGCACTTTTTTGGGGGATGCTTTCAAAATCCCCACCCCCTTTATATTTGAGCAGATGTGGCTTTCTTGGCATTTGAGATATCAATGTGAAATCTTGTATCATTGTTTCTCTTATATCAAATGTCATCAAAATCAAATAAGGTTAAGTTAATTATATTAGTTAACACAGAATAACACGTATAACATTTCTCAACATTATATTAGTTAACACAGAATAACACGTATAACATTTCTCAACGTTATATTAGTTAACACAGAATAACACGTGTAACATTTCTCAACATAAGAGTTCCTGGTGAATATACAGTTATCCACTTTATCAACATACACCAATGTTCTATCATACTTTGTTTATGTTTCACTTTTAATATTCACACATGTGTAACTGAAGTGTTACTTTATGAACAGACCAAGATTTAAACATTAAATTAGGGGATACTGTATATCTACTTATTTTTCCTACATTTCTTGTCTTTCTTATTAACATTTTAGTAAGACTAATATTAACATATTTTTCATAATTATAACTAAGATGAAAAGCACAGTTACTCCAAAGTGAATATCCAACCAGACAGCATTTGCTTAAAATGAAATAGTATAGCAAGTACATCATTAATAAACTGGATGGTATATCACACTCCTTTCTTTGCTTTGTTGGCTGTTAATAAAACAAATATAATATCACATTCACAATGTGATAGTGTGTAGAAAAATAAAGGATCTCACCTTGCTTTGAAACTTGGAACCGGTTTTCCAAACACCACAACAGGAACCTTTTCACACAACTCGATGTATTGAACTGGATAAAATTAAACTCTAAAAGAAAGACGTTTTAAAATGGTGTGCCAACTTTTTACCCAAATTCTTGTTTCGTGATAAGTTTCCTTGTTTTACAAACAATTTTTATGAACTTATGCTAACAACCTCAAATTATTTACACCATTTTACAGTTTTGTATTACCATATCAATATGCTTACTTAATCATTCAAGTGTACGGTAACAAAAAATACTGAGACTGTGAGTTTTCAAGAAAAACAAAATGAAACAAGACTGTTTTTTGTCTACACAATGTGCTACTTATGCTGTGCCCACCATGGGTATTGAAACCTGGTTGTTAGCTTATAACCCTTCAGACTTAAGGCCGAGCCACTAAGGGGCCAAAAAAACGTTGTACAAACAGTTGCATGACAAAAAATTTAAAACATTAACCAACATGGTATTTTTCTGTTTATATTCCTAATAGGAATAAATATTTTTCTGAATAAGGATATAAAAGGTACAGGAATAATTTTGGGATTTTGAAAATGTGGAATATCTTGGGTTATGGAATAAAAGAGAGGTTAAAATTGGGAAGGAATAGTAGAAAAACACAAACAAATAAATGGAAAAGAAGTGAAAAACTGAAAAATAAGGAAACTGTATATTGGCTATTAAGTTTTGTCACTGAAGCAGCATTGTTAAAATACAGTGAAAAGTTAGGGAAAAATTTTAGAAACTTTGATTGAAGGTATGGAAAAAAAATCTAAGATTTTTTTAGGAAAGTTTACCCTTTTTTCGAAACCACAGATTCAGGTTAAATTAACCAACTTTCACTAAGGGGTATTTTTTGGTAAGCTTGTTTGTTTTTAATTATGCACAAAGCTACACAAGGGCTATCTGTGCTCTGCCCACCATGGGTATCGAAACCCGGTTTCTAGCATTGTAAGTCTGCAGACATACCGCTGTGCCACTGGGGGGCTTTTGGTAAGCTATTTTATATAATATTGAGAAGTACAAATAATCCATCTTTTTTTTTCAATAATACTATTTTGTAATACGTTTCTTAATTTAATCATACCACTGGACCTGACTCATCAACGTAGTGTCACCTCAATATAAGGGTAGAAGGTCTGCACGCTTCTATAATACTGCCTTTTGAGGTTTGGAATTTTAAAACAATAGACTAAATTTATACTTGTCTGTTTTTATAAACATTTTAAGATGGTAGAAAAACTATTTTAACTAAATATTTAACAACAGATTAATCACCTACACAATGTTGATAATAATTAATGACATGCTCTTCACCAGAACAAACTGATATCCTATATAGGGAGCCGACATAAAATTTTAACTGTTTTTGTGAAATATTCTAAATTACATATAAAAACATTCTTGTATCTCATACAAACTAATTTTATTTTACCGAGCACGAGAGCCTCCAATCAAACCTTACCAAGCTTGTGCACTTTGAAGAACAAATCGTGATATTTATTATGTAACTTACACTGTCTTCTAACCTGTAATTAGTAAAAAATAATATTACTGAAAGGTAAAGACTATAGAAAAGAAATCATACCATCTTTAGGCTCTGGGTAAAAAGATTTTATTTCGGCATTCCGCTTGAGTTTTTTTGCCTCTTTCTTTTCTTCATATCTTTTTCTCAATTTCTCTGTCATACGCATCTCTCTCATCCTTTGTATATCCCACCTGAAAGTGTGAACAACATCACAAAAATTTATAAGTTGTAAGTTATCCAATCAAGTAATAAATAACACAAGATATACAGTTTAAGCTAACATTTTATTATTCATGTAGAAATAAAAAATCAATAAAAAAGATCTTTCGAGTTGTTTTTAGATTTTTTGAAATCATACACATAAATAGATATAAAAGCTAACACCAGCAATGAAATAAGTAAAGTTTTTAACACAAATCTAGAGCAAAAATGAGAAAGATAAGTGTAAGTATAATACATGAAGACCAAAAATTCAAATCATTCAATAACAATAGTACTATTACTTAAGTTTAGATGTTAAAACTCAAGTTATAATTTTCCTATACTGAAAATGTATTTCTGATAGGTACTTACTTCTGCTCATATACATAGCTATTCTTGTTCAGTGCTGCCCTCTATTTGCAAAACGTTTTTTGCATGCCAAAAGCCTTTCACTCCCTTGCACACCTCGATTCACATGGTTTAACTGTTTGCAACAAACCTCCACCACACACATGTAACTCCCCCTACGCTATCTACCTAACCATCACTTCAAGTTTAGGCAGAAACGTAAGCACCATTTGACAGTGGGGGAGGAAGGGTGGGAAGTGTGAGCAGAAGTAAGTACCTGTCAATAGTACATTTTCAGTGTAGGAAAATTATAACTTCCGACAAGATATCTTATTTCCGCTCACGTACTTAGCTAGAATACCACATTGAATAGGTGGAGGGACTGGTGTAAGTGAGAAATTAGAAGCATCCGAAGGACACACTAATAAGAGGATTATACATGGGAGACTGCATCACTTCTCTACCAGGAATACTCTTTGCCCAGATGTCAAAAAAATGTGAGAGATCAGGATGGAAAATTGTGAGGAGCACATCCTAATGGGAGAGAAAATGGTTAGACAGTGATTCTAACCACAATATACTATAATTTCAATCTCCCTGACGAACAGAATGTGGGTCAAATAAGGGATGTGTCCCAAGGTGTAGAGTTGGCTAGGGCGTGATGGACCGTACACGGCAAGTCAACTGCATCCAAAACTTGACCGCCGGGAACCAACATCCATGCACGGGTAGGATGAGGGATTCCAATCGCATGACATGTGTGAGGACATATAATGATTGGTTCAGCTTTAAATCCATAACTCAACCACCAGGAACCGACATCCACGTGAGGGTAGGATGAGGTGTCCCAATCATTATGGCAGTGCACTCCAAAGCTACAAATTCCCTCAGACAAACCCATGCAGAGATGGAGCGTCCATCTGGAGGACATCTTGTCATCTACACCACCAGAACATCACCACCATGCTCTCAACTGAATGGAGTTTTTATTGTTTATACTATATATCTCTCATTCAGGAGGATACCTCCATGGTTCACCACCCCAGCAGTTTGGAACTGGAAAGTGGTAAGGACTCTCATACTCTACTTGAGAAACGAGGGTAAACATGGTAGAGAATCCAGAGAAATATTCATACCAGAGACAGTGCAATGGGTGATCACAAAACCCTATTTCGAAAGACAGAACAAACCCAATTTACTCAATCTAAGATATGGCAGGGATGGACAGCAATCCCCTTCTACTTTATCCATGAAGTCCATGGGTTAGTATGGTCCAGAAAGGGCATATTTATGAAGCAAAGATATCTCAAGGATTAACCTATGAGCAATCTTGTGGAACACCCCACCTCAAATTTTTTTTTTGTGATTGTAACAAACAGTTGCATTTTGTGGCTATGAAAATTATGAAAGTGAAGTCAACAAAGCCTTACAGTGAAGGTTTTAGTACAATTCTAAGTGATTGAAGTATACATGGACAGACACCACTCGCCACAGAGCATGATCAGGGTCAAAACATGAGACAGGCCTCTGAAAAATAATATACGTAAGAAAAGAAAGAAAACTTACCCAGTTACAGTCTCACTGAAGAGTGAATGATGGTAACAGGTGAAAGACGGTACTCTGACGAGGAAGAAACAGCTACCCAAAGCATATAATGAAAGATGAGCATATGAGGTTTAATCCCAGTACTCGACAGACGAAATGCCTTCAGCAGACGACAGTGTTGAGATGCAGGTAAAAGGAGAGGTGCCTGAATGGAGTGAAGACACCAGGAATTGATTATAAAAAGAACAAGACAAGGAATAAAAGCCAACTGAATCACAAGCCGAAACCAACGGGTAAGGGAGGAAGGGAAAAAAATCACAAACAGAAGAGCGGTGCAAGAGAATAAAACTGCAGGAAATGGAATCAACGGAAAGAAGCCTTGACAGCAGTGAAGCAACCCAGAGCACGTACAAGACAGATAAAGTCATCTTCATCCAACTGAGAATAAAGGTGAAAGATGGTATGAAACAAATTGACAAAAAGAATATTCCATACGAGCCCCAAAGTGGAACAATAAATAAAGATGGCAGTGACTCAGAATGAAACAAAAGTGTAACCAAAAAAAATAGAATAGAGCATTGCAGATATCCCATGTGATGCTAAGTGCACAGGAGGAGCCCCAAAAAATTACCCGGTGGAGAAAAAAAGCCGACCACAAGTTCTTATTACAAGTGGATGGTAAATAAATGATGAAATACAGTGTCCCACCCCAGAAGATCCCAAAAGCAAAGAAGCCACGTGTGGAGGGAAAGAACTGAAGATGGTAAATGTCCCAACATGGAAGGAAAGAGGAAGAGGTAGCCCATGAAAATCCCCTAGACATAGGTGGAACACCTAATAAAGGTGGTGTAAGGTAGACATTTCTGGTAAGAGAGTCAATAGGGTAAGAGTAACTTAGAAATCGGAATTCGTATTCAAAGTGATTTGTAATGAAGTATTAAGTTTCGTAACTGGGTAAGAAAAATAAAATAATTCCACTTCAGAAAAAGTTACAGATATCATTATTGTATAATAAACAGTAAACTTGGTGAGGGAAATTGATGCAAAGATATGAAAAACAAACAAACTTGAAAAAAGCACAAACTAAACATATGAACATGAGCACTGCCAAATGAGAAGTGACAGGTAGAATAGCACAGAGGGAGTCATACGAGCCACGTAGGTGTGTGGTACTACTATTGGTGGAGGTTTGTCGCATGATAATTTGCATTTGAGAATCAGTTAAACCATGTGAATCAAGTGGTGCATGGGAGTGAAAAGCTTGTGGCATGCAAAAACATTTTTGCAAATAGAGGGAAGCACTAAATGAAGAATAGCTATGTATGTGAGGGGAAGGTACTTTGTCGAAAAGCTCCAGATGATGGTAATTACAATTAGGCACTAACAAGAGTGCACTTTTAGAACTTATTAACCAAACGTTCAAAAACAAAAACCAGGATTCAGTAATGAATGTCTATGATATATTGTTCAACCAATTCAGTTGTGTTAATTTTTATCATATTTATATAATACTGATTCTCTGATTACCAAGTTAGAAGAGCATAACTTGTTCATTTCACTGGTTTGTTTGTTTGAGTTTATGCACAAAGCTACATAATAGGCTATCTGTTCTCTGCCCACCACAGGTATCGAAACCCAGTTTCTAGCGTTGTAAGTCCGCAGATATACCGTTGTGCCACTGGGGGGCCATTTCATTGATACTTTTGCAGTGTAGAAACTGTGGCGTTGAAATTAGTAATGGGCTGTTCCTGCCTATGAAGATGTTCTAGTCTTCATACTGAGGCCTGACTGTCTCTTTAAAGCAATAGAAATTTCTCACTCAATAATCAAGGTAGGAGCAGTCTCCAACAAGTTTCAACACTAATACTGTATGAGAATATCATTAACAATCAGGCAACTCTAGAATCCGGGTTTCGATACCCGTGATGGGCAGAGCAAAGATAGCCCATTGTGTAGCTTTGTGCTTAATTACAAACAAACTGTTATTAGTTAAACTAAAAGTTATTTGGAAAAAAAAAATTATATTTAAATTAATTTACTTTTGAGACACATCATCAACAGATTGCAAATTTAAACTTCATAAAAGTTGTTTTGGTTTTAATAACGGATTTTCCATAAATCAGTTACGCAGATTTTGAGATTAATAATATTCATTTTTTCTATTACATAAGGATTTTTTTACAAATCAGAAAGAAGAAAAAAACTCTTACTCAGATCAAATTATTATTTTGTTTACCACAATGATAATTTTTTATTATTATGTTTGTTAACAAAAATAAAAATCGAAAAAAAGGGGAACATTGATGTCAAATGAATATGCATCCTCATTCAGCCTTATTTTTTTTGTGTGAAATCTACATTTTTCTTTCATGTATTGCATCTGGAGCATCTCATTTCAATGACCAGCAGTAATCAGCCATCATGCTGATGTTCCACCTTCTCTGATACCTCCTCTCCATTTCCCTGATGTCTGATGAAACCTTTCCCCTTGTTCTTCACTGACGGCACCAAGATTTTCAGGGAAATAGTCAATATCTGAATGTAAGAAATGAACTTTCTCTTTGAATTTATCGAGCACGTTATTGACAATATTTTTATAATTTGGGCCCTCATTGTTTCATAAAAAATTGTCAATAACACATTTAAAGGCAATCCATGCTTCTTTTTCAACTTTCCTCATTGTCCTTTCAAACTGTTCACCCGAAGTCAATTTCCTAATCTGAGACCCAACAAAAATCCTTACTTTAAATTTCGCATCTGAAAGAGCTGGGAATTGCCCACATCGATACTTGAAACAGTCGCCATCTTTCTCAAGCCCAGTTTTGTGTGAAGTGGAGGTAATAGGACTTTCTTTGTGTCAACCAAACTTTCACATTCAATGTTTTTCAATCCTGGTATCAGGCTGACTCTGCGTGGCCATTGCTTCTTAATCCAGTGCTGATTTCATGCTCTGCTGTCCCATTCACACAAAAAACATGGAAACTTTGTATAACTGGATTGTTGACCCAACAACATACAAAGGACTTTTAAGTCTCCACAAAGTAGCCAACTATGTTCTTTGTATTTGACCTTATTATAAAGAAGTTTGAGATTTTCGTACATTTCCTTCAAGTGAACCGAATGAGCAATAGGAACAGATGCATATATGCTACCATGGTGAAGAAGAACACCTTTTAGACTTCTTTTGGAGGAGTCAATGAACAATCGCCACTCACTTGGTTCATAGACTGCAGCTCCTAGCATTGATATTAATTCAGCAATATTGTTGCAATAAACCTTCTTGCAAAAAAGTAGGTATAAACTGTTTCTCACAATTTCTGTACCAGTAAAATGATGTCCCTGGAAAAAGTAAGTTCTTAGTCCAAAGTCTGGACCCCAAAATCTCAGAACAATCCTTTGGAAGGCCCAAATCTCTCACCAAATCATTAAGTTCACCTTGTGTAAAAAGGTGTGGTTCACGAGACGTTTCAGGTTGAAAACAATCCCTATCATCATTTCTACTGACTTCAGATCCAGAATCAGATGAAACTGTATCAAGTCTCTGGTGGAGTAGGTACAGGTCTTATAGCAGATTGAAGGTTTGAATAAGAAATTTCCTTTTCATTTTGAGTGTTGTAGCCTTGCACATTACACGAGCAAAAATAGCAGTCATCTCCATGGTTTCTAGTCTCATGCCAGACCACTGGAATTCCAAAAGACAAAGACTTTTTCTTACCTTTAGTCCATTGTCTCAAATCTTTGACACAAACAGTGCAAACTTTGTGCAGAACCCATGATTTGTGTTGGTCCCCAAGTTTTATTCCAAAATATGCATAATACTCTTTTTGGAAAATATCTGTAATGTTTTGCCTTTGTTTCTGTACATCAAATTTACCACAAATATAACAGAATATGTTTGGGTCGTTTACACAACCTCTTGTTGCCATAGTGATGAATAAATAATACTGAAAAGAAAAAAATAATGTCAATGTGCACGCACAAACAAATACTATCAAGATATGACACATCATGTGGCCTGTTAACTGTTTATATACTAGCGGTGGGTTCTAGAATGATCGATAAGACTCTTACATCACGATTGATCTAGAGAAATCTATAACCAGTGGATGTCAACATTTTAAGCATAACAAAAGTGACCCGATTTCAATGAAAATGAAGTAAAAGTACATATGACATTTTGTGAAAAATCTGTACGTGATGGAAAAAAATGGATATCACTTTCGGATTCAGCATACAGGAATTACTGCTGAACATGTTAAAATTTCTAGACAATAAAACAATCACAGGCCTGTGGTATTAGCAATAATAAGACAACAGTCATATAAAAATCTGATATTCACTTGGTTACCCAACAAAAGATAACTAGCAATAATAAGACAATAGTCATACAAAAATCTACAAAAGAAATGAGAGTAACAAAAATGAACTTAAAAACATTTTTACTGAAACTTAGCTTACTTTTTCCGTCTTTTTTCATCTTGTTCAAGTTTATAATGTCTTTTGTTGAATGTCTCATCTTCAATATCCTAAAGGATTTGACAAAATTGAAGTGTTGAGTTTTCCTTTGTTAAGTATTGTAAAACAATCACACTGATGTAAAATTAAAATGAACAAAACACTGTTCAGTAAATTAAAACATTTTTAAACATCATAATCCCCAAAGAAAACTATGATTAAATCTTACAATAATATTCTTGAGAAATTAGATTGTTTGTTTTTTTGTTTCAAATTTCGTGCAAAGCTACACGAGGGCTATCTGCGCTAGCCGTCCCTAATTTAGCAGTGTGAGACTAGAGGGAAGTCATCACCACCCACCGCCAACTCTTGGGCTACTCTTTTACCAATGAATAGTGGGATTGACCGTCACATTATAACGCCCCCGTGGCTGAAAGGGCGAGCATGTTTGGTTTGATGGGGATTCGAACCTGCGACCCTTAGATTGCGAGTCGAGCGTTCTTGGAAAATAATCAAGGAGAAGCATGACAGAAATGATCAGTGACCAAACATTAGGAAAATGGGTAGTTTTTTATATGTCTTGTGTGTTACATTCCATTCTTTTCTTACTGATACTAATATTAACAATATTGGTGAAATGTTTAAAATATACTATATAATTAGGCCTACTGGTATTCATTTACTTAATATATATATATATATACATATATTATTTTATTATGAAGATTATTTTGTATTGTTATCATATATACAGATTTAGAACTATTATAAAGATTATTTTGTATTCTTATCTTATATACAGATTTAAAACTATTATAAAGATTATTTTGCATTATTAGCTAATATACAGATTCATAACTAACCTACATTCATCAAACCTAGTGAGTTTTACTGGAACTCTAAATAAAACCATTCCTAACAGCAAGGGCCCCCAACTGAGAAATCAATGCATTTTAATCATTATAAATTTTTTTTTGATGCTGTATACTCCCAGTTACATCACTATATTAAATTAGTTATGTTATTCACTGGGTTAACTTTTAGTTCTGAACTACGTTGTAGTTTGATTTGATCAGAAACGTTTAATTTACCAGTTTTCAAACACTACCAACTTTCATGGGAAGGTTGGTGAATTCATTGTGTCAGTTTCAATACTTTAAAGAAAAATTGTAAATATCATCACAGTACTAGATTTCAATGGAAACAGGAAACAAGGTCTCGTGATCATTGTGCTACAGGTTTTTATTAACAGCTGATGCTTGAAATTATTAATCAATGATTTTAAATGCAAGTAATATTACCTTTGAGTGAACTTCATATCTATATATATAAAGCACAAAAAGTAAATCTGTGCCTGTCTGTCTGTCCGTTATCTAACTACTCCTAGGTCGCTGGGACAATCTCAACTAAACTTCGTGAGATGATTGTTTGGAACAAGGGGCATGTTAATGGGTGGTTCACCCCCATTATTGCTGTTATTGAGATATTATCTTTGATGTACGTTAACTACATTAATAGATGATGCCACAACCTTACACCAAAAACAAAAAACTTCATTAAAACTTTCATAAAATGGCATACACACGGTGTGAGGGGAATAGCACACAAAGGTCTTATATATCTCAGAGAGTGCGCTAGCACTTTCTATGGAGGAATACAATGAAAAACAAAGGCCACTACTATTGGAATACTACATAAACTCAGCTGAAGTTTCTACTCCAACAACAATCATAAGTTTGATATGAAGAGCCATTTCATGAGTTATACTCACTTCTTACTTTGCCGTGTGACCCTTCAACTTCAGCCCATAATACACTTCTGCAGCCAATGACCATCAATTAATTAATTACACTGTCGACAAACGTAATAGGAAGCACCCCTACCCCCACTACCTCTTCCTATAATGTCACCCTGACCATTGTGCAGTGCATACCATGTTTTAAGTATACAGAGATTGAGTTGTTAAAGCTTATACAAAACCTTTCGTTAGGTAATAATGAATACTGTAATAATATTTTATGTTATAAATAAATTGTGTGAAAGTTAGGATTTTTGTGTCATTTATCATAGCATCCATCCCCACATTTGTTTAAGTTCATAACCTGGACATAGGATGGGTACCTCAGCTTGTAATTAAAATATTTCCATAATCAATTAAGCTCTTTTTCAACAATTTCTTACAAATCATAAAAGACAATTATTGATAGTATCCAGTGAGAAAGTTACATCTTGATAGAATTAAAACAATATTCACAAAGATATATCAGGAATGTTGAAGTTCCACTTGAAATATGTCTGAAACCTATTTGTACAATTA